TGATAAGGACTAAACATGATAAACATGATAAGGACTAAACATGATAAACATGATAAGGACTAAACATGATAAACATGATAAGGACTAAACATGATAAGGACCCCATTCATTCTGCTGGTCAAACAAACAACCTCTAGATCTACAACATGTTTAAAAACATGTCGCGACCTCAGAGCTTTCTTGTCGCATTTCCAGTTTTTTAAAATGTGACATATTCTTAAGCTCACTCTTTGTTATGAACTGTTTTCACTGTTATTTAAAAAAATGGAGATACGACAAGAAAGCACTCGGGTCGTGACCTCATAACCATCACAAGACGTGAAACTTATTGCTTAACACCTAACGATCACCACTAGTACAACACATTGAGGTAAAACATGAACGTGCCTGTCACATATACAATAAGGTAAATCATGAATTGTTTTAGTAGAGATTTTTAGTTTAGTTTTAGTAGAGGTTTTACGGCGCTCGAAACTGCATAACGTCATATGAGCGCCAAGGGGTGGATGTCAACAGAGAAGTCTTTACAGGGAATCAGACTTACTCTGCTCACCTCTCTAGCTTCAACAGTACAAAGTCTGCTTCCACTATCAAGGCAATCCGGAAATAGCAGGTCACAAGAGAGTGACAAACATAGAAAAGAAGTAGAGGAAATGACGATAGTAAGGACTAGGAAAGAAAAAGCAGCAGTTCCCTGTTGTAGATCAGGCACAGTTATGAGCATGACATCGATGAATCAGCCCATTTACAATTCTACTATGCATAAGAACATGTTAATATCTCCCCTTTGGGAATGTTTTAGTTTTATTAGAGGGTTTTTTTGTTTTTTTTTAGTTTAGTATAGGGTTTTACGGCGCTCGCAACTGCATAAGGTCATATGAGCGCGCGAAACACAAGTTGTTTGCATTCACTACAGTTCACTGCACGGTAGGTCAACTATTAGACTATTTGAGGGTTTTAAGGCCCTCGCAACTGCATAAGGTCATATGAACGCCAATGGGTGGGTGTCAACAGAGAAGTCTTTACAGGGAATCAGACTTACTCTGTTCACCTCTAGATTCAACAGCACAAAGTCTGCTTCTTTGGGAATGGCCTAAAGACAACTTCAGTCACACCCCGGGGGGGGGTGTAAAAACATAAATGGGCTCAACACACACACACACATACACACACACACACACACTGTGATAAAACATGAACAGACTCAACACACACACACACATACACACACACACACACACACACACACTGTGATAAAACATGAACAGACTCAACACACACACACACACACACACACACACACACACACACACACTGTGATAAAACATGAACAGATTCAACACACACACACACACACACACACACACACACACACACACACACTGTGATAAAACATGAACAGATTCAACACACACACACACACTGGTAAACAAGCACAGCTCAGACCTTTGGTTCAGAAGGGACATGACGGAGGTGGGCCCCTCTACCCAGCCCATTCTCAAGCTGGGCGCCAGGATCTTGGAGAACGACCCGATCGACAACACGTGACCCCTGGCGCTGTCCGCCGCCGTCGCTTTGTCGAAGGACAGCAGTCGTCGCGGGGCGTGTGGGCGGTCCTCGAAGTAGATCATGTTGTAGATATCTTCGGCTATGAGGAGAATGTTGTGTTTACGAGCCACCTCAATCAATTTCTCGCATCGATCTGAAACAATGGAGAAGCAACAAGAAGGACGTTGTGTTTATGAGTCACTTCAATCAACGTCTCACATCTTTAGTTTTAGTTTTAGTAAGAGTTTTACAGCACTTGCAACACAATAAGGTCATATAGGTGCCGAAGATTAAAAGTGTTAGAAGAGAGTAAAAAACAAAAATAAGAAGGAGGAGAGATCAGGACGACAGATGTTTGATAGGAAAGAAGGAGGAGAGATCAGGACGATAGATGTTTGATAGGAAAGAAGGAGGAGAGATCAGGACGATAGATGTTTGATAAAAAGGAAGGAGCAAACCCACTCCAGAGCACCCGCCAACCACCGACTCGCATCTTTCCGAAATAATTGAAAAACAAATAGGATTCATACAAGCAATACTTCCCCATGGCAATCACACAAAAAATCCTATTGTCTAAAGTTATACGTAACCAATTTGAGTAGAGCAAAAACATCCACACAGTTTGGTCAATATGGCATAGATTTTCTAGTCCTACCACACAGAATTAGCAAAACAATGGGTAAAAAAATAAAACCAGCCAGGGGCACCCTCCAACCACCCCAGCAACACGCGGTGGGAGGTACCCTCAGACAATTGGTCACAAACATCCCAGAAACTAGAAGTGGTTGCAGACTGACATGATAAATATTTTTTTATAGTCACTCACAGTGTATGCGTCATCAGTTATGACAGAAAAAGTTCAGAAATGCTGACTAAATCCACAACCTTCTAGTTTAGTAGTTTTAGTAAGGTTATACAGCGCTCAAAACTGCATAAGGTCATATGAGCGCCAAGGGGTGGATGTCAACAGTGAAGCCCAAACAGGGAATCAGACTTACTCTGCTCACCTCTCTAGCTTCAACAGCACAAAGTCTGCTTCGACTATCAAGGCACCCCAGAAATAGCGATTCACAAGAGAGTGACAAACATACAAAAGAAGTAGAGCAAAATGACGATAATAAAGATCAGGGAGAAAAAAAAAGTAGCAGTTCCCCCCAGCCCATTTACAATTCTACTGTGCATGAGAACACGTTAATATCTCCCCTTTGGGGATGAACTAAAGACACTTCAGTCAGTAGCACTGTCCGGGAGGGGGGGTTCACAGACATTACAGGAGTAGCACTGAGAGCAGTCCCAGTCCCATCGTGTCACAACTGACACGGCCATGTGTGTACTTCTGAGCACACACCAAACAGGTCAACAAAAATTGTTTCTAGTTTTGATTATAACTGTTTTTAGTAGTTTTTGTCTCCAACTCAAGTATGCCAACTTCCTTCTCATTTTAAGACATCACGCATCACTTGACAAAGCAGAAAGAAAAATTTGTAATGGGATCAATAATTATTTTTACCAGGACAAAATCCATTTTGAAACGTTATGCTAAGCAAGAAAACCAAATGTCGTCCTGTTCTAAACTCAGCACACACATCTAAAACTAGCTGGGTACCCCGTTTGATGAATGAACTCAAAAGAATCGATCGTCAAGTCACTGTAGGATTAATGCGCAATGCATGTGAACGGAAGCCTCACTTGTTTACAATGGCGTTTTGAAGACAAACTTTCCCAAGATTAGATCTTAATGAAGCTAATGAAAGCTGAAAATTAAACTACAGTGACTTCAGACTCCTTAATATAACTGTGCACCCTTTAAATGATTCTGAACCACTGCTAATTCTTTTTCAAATTCGAAAGTTAAGTGGTTCGAAAGTGACCAAAGCGCCGAACTTTTACAAATATAATTCATGTATATAAAGATTCCGTATCTTTCTGCGACGCTCTGACCTGCTGAGTAAGAAATACCACAAGGATTGTGGAAGACGGGCATCATGTAGACAGCCGCCCAGAACGGTCTGTCCTCCGACACCGTGGCACCGGTCTGTTTATGACTTAGCACCAGTCTCTCCAGCTCCTCTGGGACGATGCCCTCCTCGTCAAATGGAACTGAAGGACAAGACAAATCCATCTCTTTACAGAGTCCACCACTCACTTCTTCCTACACAGAGCCAACTTATCGGCTGTCAAAACAAAGGAACAAAATGATTCAGAGAGCCAACTTATCAGCAGTCAAAACAATAATGGAACAAAATCATACACAGGAGTAAACAAATGAAATGCTTACGAACAATTCTTCTTGAAATAACAGATCATAAGCACAAACAGAGCAACATCTGTTTTTAAAGAAGAAGTTTACAATCAGACTTAGTGAATTCCCTGTTTTGCTCTGCTCTCAATAATAAGGTTACTTAATGTGTTTAAGAATTTTTTTACCCGAAGAAGATAACTGCTCAAGTTGCTACCTAGTTTCTTACTTGAAAATATCTACCATACACGGACAAATCATTCGCACGAAACATTATCTGGCATAAGATTTAGAATAACCACATTCCGATGTTTTCACTAAAATACAAAAGAAACGTTATTGATATCAACAAAATGTACAGTCACAAAATTATCTTAGTTCCCTTCAAGATAAAAATTTGAAAGGACAAAAGGAATGAGATGAATTTTCCCTTCATCAAAAATCGTCTCTGTTGACAAGTAGTCACAGAGCATAGTAAGAAACATTGACCAGGTACGTGTGACCATCCTGTGCTTAAATATGGCGTGTCATCACTGATGTGTAGTGGCACAAAGTGTCAAACCTTTGGAATTTGAAGGAAAACATTTTGAATGTCATTTGCAATATGACAAAACTGAGCTGCTAGAAATTCACATTTTTGAGCAGCCGTTGCTTCAAAGCTGAGACTAGAGCCCGGACTGCGGTTTATAAATCGCCAGCCAGCTTTTGAGGTGCACTCAGCCCAAAATTTTGAAATTTAAAAATTCCAGTTTTATGATCTGTGTGGTATCGGTTACATTTTTTCATTTAGAATTACAGCGTTTGCGTAGCGTTCTCTCAGGAACCATCATTTCACCTCTTTAGTTTGTTGGTCACATTCAAAAACTACAAGACGGTGGAGAGGAACAATTAACAATTCCAGCTAATCAAACAGGCTCACCAGGCACAAGATTTCGCTGAAGGTCCGTCCGGATCATTTTAAATCCATAGAAGTAGCTCGGATCTTCGGTAAACACAGGGTTGTCCCGACCAAACAACAGCGTGAGAACCATGTGCAGCCCGTGAGAGGCCCCTGCCGTAAGCATCAGCTCTTTGCTGCGGAGTGTTGCAGATAAAATCAAAGTTCAACAACTTTATCAACTCTTAAAAGTTTTTACTGGTATATATAATACTATGGTGCTATTGATTCACACAATACTGTATTTTTTTTTTAGACTGCAAGCCCCAAAACCTCTAAGTTTCTACTAAATCCCAAAACATCACACCAAAGAGGGAAATTATGTAAATGGTCACTACTCAAACTAAACAATAACTAAATGCCAGCAAGAAAACCTGAACTGCATTAAATTCCCCAAACTTTTTAAAATAATAAAACTACAATCCAAGAACTACAAAGAAAAATTTTTTAACTTCTTCATGCAGTTTCTGTCCTCTCACTTTGGTCTTATAAAGTGTCGAAATAGCTTACAACATATGTTGGATAGATACATATAATAGGCTGAAAAACTTTGATATACTGATGGATACAAAACTTTGAGAGACGAGTGGACACAGAAAGATGGAAAGATAAGATAAGATAAGATAAAAGATAAGACAAGCAGCATCTTTATTGTCCAGATCCTGGCACATTGGTTTGGTGTTTCACCTCATACACCCATGCACACACACACACACACACAGGCACACACACAGGCACACACACACACACACACAAACATGCACACACACGCAGGCTTTCAGTCACATGCATAATATAAATGAACAGTAATATAAATGAACAGTAATATAAATGAACAGTAATATAAACAATAATAATCTTAAGCTAGATACATACTCAATGTTATTCTGATGCATGCTCTAAGGTCATATGAATACTTAAAACAAGTACATAAACAGGGTACGCTTAATTGAGTGCTGTCTTCCCCACAGCAAACCCCCTTAGAAAGCAAGCCTTTGTGGCTGGAGCAGCTTGCTGCTAACTGAATTTTAAAAGAGGATTGACCTCCCACTCATCCGCCCCCTTCAGACACACACAAACACACATGATTCCTAATCGCGGGATGTGCTAATGTTGCTATGTCAGAAAGCGGTAAGGTAGGCAACTAGGCTTTTAAATTTACGTGAGCCAGTGCTCGATCTCGGAGCGATAGTGTTACGCTCAGTGGCTGAGACTGTCCCCCCCCCCCCCCCCCCAAAAAAAAAAAAAAAAAAAAAACCAAGTAACAAAACACGCAAAAACCAATGGCAAGAGAGAACATATTTATAGGAAGTGTTTGAGCACCACACTAACGCAATCCCCCCCCCCCCTCCGACGGGAAACTCCTGAAGGAAGATGGCTCTTGGCAAAGGTTGATACAAACTGAGCTCCTGTACTCAGTGTCATGATATGCGATACATATACTCGAATAGAGAAGATGTTCGATACGAAAATAAACACTTCCCTTCCTTATGAAATCATTATGGCAGAATGTTTACTATCGTCTTGAGCTCGTCTGACTTAGATCAAATATCAAGAATACATAACATCATAATACTCAGTGTACTGTAGTTTTGGCCGGAGCAGGGGGAGGAATTTCGTAATGAGCGATTGCTCTACAGAGTAAAATAGAGGGTTACGGTTAGGATTAGGGTTAGGGTTAGGGTTTGGGGTAGGGGTAGGGGTAGAGGTAGGGGTAGGGGTAGGGGTTGGGGTAGGGGTGGGGGTAAGGGTAAGGGTAAGGGTAAGGGTAAGGGTAAGGGTAAGGGTAAGGGTAAGGGTAGGGTTAAGGGTTGGGTCACGGTTAGGGATAAGTCTCTTCTTTATTGTATGTTGAGGTGGTCGCTCATTACGGAAGTCCTTGGGGGCTATCGGGGCCTGAAGGTTAAGGTGTTCATTTCTCATTCAAAGATCCTGGGTTTGAATTCAGGTAGCGACAGGAAAAATTTTCTTATCTAAAATTGTCTCCTTTCACCTCCTTCCCGCTCTCCAACAATGTTCTGTCGTCTGCTTTCATCTTCACTTTCTGCCCCCACTCCTACACCTCCTTTGCTCCCAGGCTCCTGACTCTTTCTGCAGCATTTCTACTGCTACGCCGAGGCTCCTTACTACTGCTGTCTTTCAGCCACACCCCTGATCTACACCTAGCCTTTTCGGACAAGGGCGAAAAATCTCAAAGGACCCGTGTGCAAGTTACACACGTTAAAGATCCCTTGGTGGTCTAAGATCGATAATTAAGAGCAGGCTTCGGCCGCCACTCTGGCAAAATTCGAAATTTCCTACCAACTGAAAATGTTTAAAGTGTCCTGCATGCTCATATGACCTTATGCAGTTGCGAGCGTCGTAAAACACTTACCGAAAAAAAAAAGGAAAACGGAAGTCCTTAATTTCCTGACCCGGTGTTGAGAGGAGAGCAATAAAAAAACACAACTTCGTTACACGAACCTAGGCTGTTGTTATTAAGAGGTTGCTTTTTCTGGGTTGCTTACATATATGGACACCAGTGTTATATCCCTATATTCCACACGAGGGTGCATCTAATCAACTGAAAGAAGTAGCCTTTTTGATCACCTGTTGACTTGTTCACCGTATTCAGTAGACAGATACTTCGACAGCTCCTCCAGGCAGGATTTGTCTCCACCAGTGGTCCCGTACATGAACAAATCTTCCACATCAGCATCCTTGCTCTGAGGGGAAAAAACGGAACAACAATGAATTGCATTTTATTTGCCAATTCATCAAAATGCATGTTTTTGGTGTTTTTTTCCAGATATATATGTAAGAAAGAAAATTGGGCAGAAGCTATGAAAATATTTAATCTCTTGGCGGATGTAGTGTATCAACACTAAAACAAGATTAATTTTTCATCGGTACTGATAAGAAGCTAGAGTTGTGAACTTTATTTATTGAAAGGGATGTTCAGTTCATCATCATGTGTATAGTTTATGAGATTTTCACTTCAGTTTCAGTTCATCATCATGTATAGTTTATGAGATTTTCACTTTAAATTCATCACTTTGCTTCCAACTTTGTTTTCCTATTTAGGAACATTTTGATGAGCTGCAACAGTGTCACAAACAGCAAAAGTCAAAGGTTTTAACTTCATAATAGATTAAAAGTAATAAAAGTGAAGCAACTTAGTTCAGTAAGTGAATTAGCAGAACTCCACTGGAGGACTTGTTGGACTATACAAACCCTCTCAAACTTCACGAAACATCTAGATATTCTAATTTTTTATATTTTTTTAAAGGTAACAGACGAACCAGACATAATTTATGTTCTTATGACATGAATCCACTTTCTCGTGAAAAGCAAAGCACAATTGTAACTGACTTACCAAAACGTTCTCCGCGGCAGTCCGCATAATCCCTGTGCAGCTTTCCAAAGTCTCTGGCCCAGGAGAACCAGGTACAAATGGATACTTGCACTGCACGGCTTCCAGCAGTGCTAATTCTGAACAACTTTCCATAATGAACAGAGAGATTAGGCTAAGATAGATCTAGATCTTGATCTAGTCTAACGGCTGCTGTGTTTGTTCTCTTAAAAAAACGCCGATTCTTCTAGGCCTAGTCTACTTCAAAGTAAAGAAAGGTTGAAACAACACACAAAATGCGTGGTGATGTTCTGAGAACAATGCGAATAAATACATGTGACGAGTCGACCAATCTCAAGATAAGATTCGGATAGGACGTGTTTCGTGTAATTAATTCTTTTTCACTGTCTCATCTTTGCTTTCCAGTTTCGTTCATTTGGAAGCGAGGAGCTTAGAACTTTTAATCTCCTTGTTTGGAAGCAAGATGTTATTATAGCATCATCTAAAAAGAATCTACACGTTCAAGGCTTAAAGAAACGGGAACCAGAGTGCTTCAGAGCAATGTCGAAAATAAATGTCTGCAGTACACTTACACACAGTTTATAGAAATAAAAAGAATTTTATATCATTTGTAATCATAATGCCTCTAAAATCTAGCCTAAAGTAAACTGAGTGAGTGGACTTATCCTCCAAAAATATTTATTAGCCTAAGCTAAAAACAGAGGAGAAGAGGTATCTTCCCCATTGTTTTTTTTTTCAATGAGCAAACTGTATCCGTGAAAAGAACAAGCAAAATGTTGAAGTCCAATGTTTACTTTTTTGACTCATGAAAATGAAATGAATGGACCTCCCCAAGTTCTGACTGGTGACGTCACGGGCTATTCCCTCTCGGGTCAAAGGTCACTTGGTGTGATCGCTGCCTCATTTTCGAACTACTATTTCTGATCAAAGATGGCGGCCACCGATCCATGGAGGAAGTAGGATCTGCTGGAAGAATTTATGAAACTCAAGGGCCGGAGAGGCCTTCTAATTTCAATTATGGAGTGTGAAGTGTTCTGATTGTATGTGTCTATATTCGTTGATGTCTGGATATGTAGTTCATGTTGGATTTACGGCTTACACGGGCTCTTTTACCCGGCTGAAAACGGAGCCGAGCTCTTGACTCGTATCTGAGTCTGAGGCGATGGGAGCACAAAATGCAAAGGAACCAAAGCCCGGTTCCGGAAAGAGTAGGGCCAAGCCTACGAAGGAACCAAGGGTATCACAGGGGAACATTTTTGCTGAACATTCAGGTAATTATGATGTTATAAATATTTCACAAGTTAGTTCTAGTGCAGACGTTAATGTAGACTTGACGTGATTTATGTGTTGTTTTCAGTTGAGTAGACAGTAAAGTAAAGCCCTACCCAACCTTTCTCTCGAGTTCTCAGTCTCAGCCTTCTGCTTCTGATTTCCAGCACACGACACTGCAGACATTGCCTGGACTCCACTAGAGACTAGAAGTATTACTACATGTCTTGGTGGTGACGAGGGACAATATTGAATTGCCAGAGGCAATGAATTGAATGAGGACCAGTTTCAGTGCCTTGGTTTTGTTCTAAAATGTGTTGCCATATGAAAGGTCCTGCTGTTGTATAGGCTAGATTAACTGCTGCCTTGCCTTGTTTGTATCATAAAATTTATGTTATATGAGTCATGAAATGAGTATGATGGCATTCGACATCATTCTCATAAAGAATTGGGTCGACTAGCAATGAGCTGGCACATTTTTAACGAAGTAAAGTAGGCCTTCTTATTTCCCTATTTGGGCCAACTTTGGCTACTAAATTTAGCAAGCATGAAAGGCGGCTTGTTTGTCCCTCCAGCCTACAGGGCAGATCTAAATCAGTGCTTTGCCAATCTGGCTGATGATATCGCCCACTAGTACTGGGGAAGTGGGCTACATAGTAATTTTGAAGTCTGGGTAGTGCCAAGTGTATTTAATGCCCAGCTTGGAAATACGTGTGTGGGTGGTATTAGAATTTTAGCCTCTTAAATGTGTGGTAGAAGTAGGCTCTGGCTGTAAAAAGGTTGACAAGTACTGGTCTAAAGTGTAAGAGGTTTACAAACGTTCCACTTTACACTTTTTTCTTACCACCAGTCAAAAATACTGCTCTAGGTCTTGAGTCTGAGGAAGCTTTGATCTGTAGATCTAGCTATCCAGTGGCCAATACCCACTGCCACAAGGCCAAGCCAAAATGTCAATTGATTAATTTATTAAAGAAGACAGCTAGGCAACTCCGAATGACGCACCAACCAGCAACTTACTATTTCCATGCCACTGAACGGTCATTAACTTGGATGGTTCTGGAATAGTGTGTTCAGTGTTCTGAATGAAAGGGTAGAAGTAGAAGACTTTCTAATAAGACTTTTTGGTTGACTTCTACACTGTTGGGGATAATTTAGTGCTGACCATTGTGGCACTGACCGTGTAGTCTGTTGGTCATGAGTAATTAATATAAACTTCTCTATCCAACACATGCTGGAGATAGGCCTTAAATATAAAAAGTAATGATGATCATGATGTATGTTGATTGAATTGGCCGGCTGAGGTATTTTGTTTAGACTAGAGTGTGCCCAATGTCCAAACAAGGGACTTAACAGAGTACTCTTGTCTTTTCAGTTAAAGTTAAATGCACTGTGTCTTCTTGTGAAGTAGCTCAGATAATTATGAAAGCTAAAATACAATTGAAAGTTTAGTTTGTAACTGTCAAGCTGTGACTGTGATGTATTCATGTGCCTGTACTGTACTCTTACCCTCAACATTGTTTCAGGCTGGGAAAATGATGCATTTGTTTAGTGTTTCTTTGGAACATTGTAGTTAGTTAAACATAGCCAGAGCTAGATTAGTAATTAGTTGCATTATGGTATATAAGAAAATACTTAGTCGCTCCTGAATTCTAGCTGTTTGGGGAATGAAGAAAAGCAGATTTTTTTTACTGTTTATTCATCGATTCAAGGCTAAGAATTAGATAGTTACTGAGCTGTATCTGAGATGCTATCAGATGACAAAGGTGTTGTTGTTTCCTATTTAACAATGGCATTGAATTGGAAGTATTAGAGATGTATTCTTGCCTGCTTTTCTCAGTTCGTTGCTTTAGCCTTTTAAGAGTCAGTTGATTGTAGAAGGTCGATAATCATTCTAGAATCATGAATGGACTGGGGGGGGAAATAGGCGTGAGGCAAGGAGACAAAATGAGTTATTCCTCAAAATCCAAGTATGGAAATATTGGTTATTGGTTGAAAATCAACTCGCATGAAAATTTTAGACTTTCAATTGATGTGTGTGTTTTTCCAAATTTAACATGATATTTATTTCATTCTAGTAATGCAAATTCAACCCCTAGGTTTTATACATCCCTATCTGTTTCCTTGTATAGTGCTAAAATTTGAGAAGTAACTCATTCTGTTAGCATGCGGCATGCCTGATCATTGTATTTTACTTTCCTTGTTTCTCCTGAACTCGGTCAATTGACTAAGTGAAATGACTTTTTAATCAGTTACTAGTACCCTTGGTCAGGTAGCCTCCCCCCAATTGTTATGTTTGGAAAAGGGGGTCTAGGAGTTTTACATCAAATATTTTTTAATTGTAATTTTGTTGTCTCTTGTTGACCTACTTTTTGTGTTGCCATGTTATGCATTGAAAGACCCATGGTATATGTTTTGCTTGCTTTTTATGTTGTACAGAATGTCAGTCTTTGTCCTAGGAGAGGTTAAAATGTAAAATGAACACTGTCACTGTCACTGTCCTTTCATTTGATGTATTTCTTCTTCTGCTCACTATTATATAAGCAAATATTCCTGTTTAGTTTAGACAGCCATCTCCATGCTCCAGTCCTGTCTCCTGTGTTTGCTTTGCTTTTTGGCATTTTGGCTGCACTTTAACTGTTGACCTTTGGGGAGGGGGGGGTCTGTTCTCCTCCAAGCTCCAGCTCAAGATGTGAAGATGTGCAGAAAATGTAGAAACTCCCCCTTATTTTTTCAGTTATCGAAACATTTTAATTTGAATAAAAAAAAGCAAAAAAACTTTGGCCTTGTAGTTGGTTTGGAAACCACAATGATCCCTAGAAATGGGGTGGGGGTGGGGAGTAATTTAATTTCGGCTTGATATAATTAACATAAAATTAAAATGGGAGTAGTTGGAAAGTGTTGCCTGAAGGGCGGGGTGCTATCATGTTCTCAGTTGAAGCGCAGAGAGCATCATATTAAATATTTACTGCTTGTGCTGTGCCGTAGAATTTTTTAATGAGCTCTATAGTGTTGACATCCAGTTAGACCAGAAGTTTCGTGTTCAACTTTGAACCCCTCCCCCCCCCCTACAAACACACACACACAAATACATGCAGACACACAAACACATGCAGACATAACACACAAACACATGCAGACGTAACACACATACACAACCGCTCTGGAAGAAGTTGAATTAGTTAAAGTCCTTGTCTTTATAATAAATAAAAGAAGAGAACAGCTCCTTGGAAATGTAGACATGCCTGCTTGTTCGTATTTTGGTGTGTGCTCATTTTTGTCATCATCATTACCCTGGCCTTGGTGTGATACTTTGTGCTCAACTTTTTTAAAAAATTCTTTTTTGCCATCGCAGCTGTCACTGTCTCTGATTCACAGGGGTGCCAAAATGCCGTCTGATTGTTTTATTTGGCTGTGTTAAGATGCCGGATGGTGTCTAGTATTTTTAAAATTTTTTAAACTTGTAAGTGTTGACAGTTAAGTTACTGCGTTTTCCGGGCGTGTGGACCACTCCTGTCTGACTTCTTTGGGTTTTGTGGGGTTTTTTGTTTTCTCCATTCCATTTCGTTCACATTGAAACTGTTGGTACGTGGGTGGTTGGCGGGGCTCTGGTGTGGTTTGCTCCTTCTTTCCTATAAAAAATCTATTGTCTCTATCTCCCCTCCTCCTTTTTTATGTTTGTTACTCTCTTGTAACACCTTTAATCTTCGGCACTTATATGACCTTATTGTGTTGCAAGTGCCGTAAAACTCATTGAAACAAACTGTTGGTATACTGTGGTTGGACACCATTCACTCATTCCTAGTCCTCTTCCTTCTGTCTGCAATTTGTGAGGTTTTTGGGTAAAGGTCTAATTGAGGTCTCCATTGTGCACATCGGAGGTCTCCACTGTGCACATCGGAGGTCTCCACTCACAGTGGGGCTAACAAGGGGGTCGCCTTGACATCATGCACGAAATACAATTTTTATCTTTTTTAAGAAGAGAGACCTCAATAATAATAATAATTATAGTAGATTGCATTTATATAGTATCGCGCTTTATCCCATACAAGTATACACGTATGACATGATTACTGAGAGTAAAATCTCACACATAAATACAAGAAAAATATTTCCTACACATACTCTAGAAAACCAGTTCAACTACATGAAGAACTTTCTCAGCCATTCAATAATTATACACACATTTCACAGCTGTGAACACAAGACACATCAGCTTTTTTTTAATTGGCTTGTTGTAAATGTCTGCTGTTTGGACTTCTTAAGTACGGTTAATGAGTGTGTACTTGTGGGTCTGGCAAGATTTCTCCCTGCTCCCCTTCTTGTTTTGTTATCCCTACCTGCTTACCTGTTCTAGGCAACAACTTCACTGCACGCCGGACAGGTCCATAAGTGCTCAGTTCCTCTCAGCACTAATAGAAAGCCCGCAAGGTATCCATACTGATTGTTCCAGTGTATCCATACTGATTGTTCCAGTGTATCCATACTGATTGTTCCAGTGTATCCATACTGATTGTTCCAGTGTATCCATACTGATTGTTCCAGTGGCTGTTTGATTATGGCGACGTCCTT